AACTCTAACAGTCAGGCAACCCAATGAACACTGTTATGGTTACCGTCTTATCAGTTTGTGGTTGGGCGCTGAGTCTCGGGAACTAACTTCACAGACGTAGTTCCGTGTAATTAATTCATATTCAGATAAGATAGAAGTGATTCTTAAATCAATTTGTGTAATTCTAGTCGGTTACTATAAAATACTCTTAAAATCAAGTTTACTTTTGAAATAAATATTGTTACATTGTCATGAATTATTAAAGCGTTGTGGTTAAGAACAAGTTAACTTTGTTTTTCAAAAATATTTATGTAGCTAATAAAAGAAGATTTAACATGAAACTTGCCTACCAGAAAAACTTTAAAATGTTTAAAAAAAAAATAGAATTATAATATTTTTTCACAAAATCATTTAATTATAGTATTAACAATATTTAATTTAACTTGAGCTAAACTATTCTTGTTTCACACTAACAAATTAATTTAATTTGTTGTAAGAGTACTTGATTACAGTTCAAAGAATTTAAGATATGTGATAACTGAATAATATATAATACAAAAAGAGCACTTTTGCAATTTTTCAAGTAGTTTTTAAGTATGATTTGATTCAGAAAACTTATATTACTTTCAATATAGGAATACCTTAACACTATTTCAGATATTTCTTAATTAGGTGACAGTAAACTCTAAATTTAAATTAATCTGATTATATAGCTTACTTTAATATTAGCCACTCAATTTCTCTTACAATAATATTTATGTTCAGAAAATTATGTTTGTTTAGGTTTTTTTTTTAATTACCTATATTTCTTGTATATCATTATAAGGGCGTTAACCAATTATTTTTAATAGCAACATATATTTTTATAGTTAGATAGGTTAAGGCGTGCAGCCTAAAATTATCAGATGATAAATATTGTCATAACTTCAGTCTAAATTTTAAAATGTTAATCACTTTTGAAATCATCGGTAAAAAGTTGTTAAATACCAGTCATTTTCTGAATTAGATCAATTTATATTTTATTAACTTATTAAACATGTACATAATCATCTAAAAAATATATATTTGACACCTTAATAAGGTATAAAGAATGGATTAAAAAACAACATAATTATTACATACAAAATTGATTAATTAATTACAGGATATTGAATAGCTAACATTTAAGTTACCCGATTACTAAAAGAAAACTTAGGGAAACATTTTCTTAATGCCAAACTCATAATAAAAAAAAATTTACCATTGAAATTTCCTTCTTGTTTTTTGTTGGTACCTGATATAACTACAGATTTTTTACAAAAATATTTCAATTTTAATCAGATCCTGTTTTCCATTAAAACAGAATTATGTACTTGTTTTCAATGTATTTTTATGTTAAATATGCAAATATCTTAAATATTCATGTTTTTATTATTAGACATAACATTTAATTAACTAACATAGCAATAAAGCTTATGAAATTTTTCTATTAATATTGAAACTAAATTTTGATTTTAATAACTCAAATGAATAGTTATAAAATTATTATTTAGAACAATTAAACAATATAATAATAGTAACGTAATTAAAAAACTGAAGTGTTTAGATCACAAAATGTTTAGGATAATTACAACAGAAAAACAAATTTTTTCTAACAGATGGAATTTGTTGTTAAATAATTACATTAGCTTAAAGATATTTTACAAATCAACAATGAAAATTTTTCAAGTATATTTACACATTCTCAATTAATTTATAATTAAATTTGATAGTCAAGTCCAAAATAATATAGTAAACGCCATTGCAACACAACAAAAAGATACATATGGGCTTTTACGTTCACCAATACGGGCCAGCTTCCAAAAAGTTCCCATAGGTCTATGAACAGATAAATAATAATTCAATTTTATTTTTAAATAATATAGATAGTAATCTAACTTACTAACACAGTAATTTTGTTAAATCAATTATAAAAATATAGATATATAGTATTCAAAAGAATCACTCTTCACACTAAGGCATATCTATAGACAAAATTGATTTTTAGACTTGTCATTTCGAGTTACATCTTCTTCCTCGCCTTAAACCCAACTACTTGGGGTCGACCACTCTTATTATTATTTCTACTAATACGACCTCCCACATCATCTACACTCACATCCTCTTGTTGCATTTAATAACATTCTTCCATCATTTTACATACATCGTAATCTGGTTTCACTACAGTCTTATAGAACTTTCAACCACATTGGAATTTTTTTATCGCATAACACACCAGACGCTCTCTCCACTTCAACCACCCGCACTTAATCATGTGTCTTACACCTTCATCAATAACACCATTCTCTCTTATTGATTACTTTTTTCCAAATCTTCATACTATGACTCGTTAGCTTTATATATAAAGAAAAAAGATCCTTCAACTTTCTTTGTTTTGCCAACAACTCCTTATATTTTCCATACTTCTACTAGCACTTCATCTAGTCCTACTGCTTTACTTTTTTTCATTGATGCCACAGCCTCTTATACCTTTTTCTCACTAATTAAATATACCAGTTCCTCATTTTCATGAGATACACTCTAATGTCTCTTTTGGATACTCTTCATTCAGTAATTTTTCAAAATACTCTTTCCACCTTTTTTTCACATCATCATCACTCAAAAGCACCTTCTTATCAACACTTTGTATACATCTTAAATAGTGATAATCTTTAGACCTTTTTCTCTTACTTTTGCAAGTCTATAGACTTCTTTTTCATATTCATTTGACCTAGCCTATCATACAACTCATCATATTTCTTAAACTTCGCCTTACTTACTGCATTGTTATTTTGAGTTACATAATATATTTAATTTAAAAAACATATAGTTATTTTTAATACTCATTTATTATTACTTAATACTCACCCTACTTTATTTCTATCTATAATACTTGGTACTAATTGTCTCAAATATGTGCATGTGCAAATAGACAAAAGTAAAATAGTTAAAAGACTTTGTAAATTAAATAAGGCCAACTGAAATTAATAAATTATTAATAACATTAATTTTTTAAAATATTAAGAATAATGATTTAATTACCATTTTATAACAAGACTATACAATATTATTTAAAATTTAAGTGTTAATTAAATAATCACTCTTTTTATATAACATACATTGAGCTATACTAGAATTTTCATTATTGTAGTAATTTCTCAAATAAACATTTGTGTTATCAGTCATATAACGTCACTTCGGGTAATATAAACACTACCCGATAATTTAAGTTAACCGTATACCATGATAGAATTTTAAACCAAACCATTACAATAACATATTCCAAAGAGGTTTCATGTGAATTGAATTAATTTTTTTATTTAGCCTGTCATCTAGCTGTTAAAAATATAAAATGACGTAAACCACTAGATAGAAATACTATGTTATAACTTATTCAAAAGTGAAATTATAAGATTTATACTTCTACAAAAATTAAAATTTGTATTTCATATCACTTAGATTTTTGAAAATAAAGCTGAAAGGGATGCATATTGGACACAATTCCATGTTACGGCGTAATCACAATTTTTTATAATTATAATAATATACAAATTATGAAAAATTATTTATAATTTCTAACTCTCTTCACATTTTTCCATATAGATTGCACAAAAGTTAATAAAACGGTGAACATTTTTTAAAAATGTACAATTAATTTATTATATATAATTTCTACGGTGCTTACTTAATCCTTGATTTGTTCATACATTAAAACCCGAAATAAATTATGTTTGGAATGCCTGTATAAATCTAAGCAAAATTCAACGATATAAATGAAATATGAAAAATAAATAACACAAACATATTAATTAAACATTTTATTTTTAATATACTGGACATTATTTTTAACATAACACATTCAATGACTAACAAAATTAATTAATATCGGGAATATTATTTTTTGGCTTTTTGTATTTAGGTATATTTCTTTATTTATGAAGTCCAAAAGTTATGACCAGTCATTTACTTAATATAAGATAATTTTTGATTTTATAAGCAGTAAGTTCATAAAATTGGTAGTCTCTGTTAAAAACTACTTATTTTAAAGTTGAATAATATTGCAGAACGAATTAAAAGTAATGACAATAGTTATACAAATATATATTTGTTCAGAAAATCATCACAAATTTATGCATATAAAAAAAAATAATAATAATTAGATAAAATTTATTTGACTTTTTTTATACAAAATAAATATGAAGAACTATTAACATCTGCAAGGTGTCTTAAAGATAGGCAAAGTAATGTACTCGTATGAAAATTATTAGTAGAAATCAGTAATAATAAATATCAAATTACTGATAAAATAATATGCCTTAAAGAAGCAATAATAATTTTTATTGAACATATATTTTAGTTTATAGAGTTAATAATATTGTAAATAATACCGTACAAAGTGTTTGTTTTAACAGGGGTAAGTGACATAATTTTTTTTATAACAACATTCTTTTGATCCTTCCACGTTATTTTTTAATTATCAAATTTTAGTTTCGTGTATAATTTATATATATTGATAAAATTAAGGATATCACTACTTAGTTATATTTATTTTATTAACTTTTACTCATAATGTTACCAAAACATTTTACTTGTATTTTTTATATGTTTATATATCCGTCAAATTTATCTATTATATTTTTTTTTATTCTAATATAACCCAATGATTTGGTTTATGGTTTAAACTAAAAATCAATTTAATAAATTATAAAACAAGTTTAATCTTGATTTTTTTTGTCAATAATTTATTTCTAAATATAAATTATCAAAATGAAAACCCAGTCCAGTCGAGAATCCGCATAGTGTGAATCAATGGCACAATGGTATTGTGGGTTCCAGTATAGATTTCTAACTGACAGTGTTTAACATCATTATCATAAAATGCTTCGATTCAATTGTTTATAAAAAAAATATATAAAATTTTAACAGAAATCTTACAAATTTTGACCTGGATAGCAAACAACTCATGGAAGAAACATAATAATTTTTTTTACGCCAAATGAACGAACATATAAAAGATTTTTATTTGATATTAGTTCAAAAATTTCAATGAAAAAAAAATTCAAATGCGTAGACAGCTTTTTTTTAAATTCTTTCTGTACATAAAGTTACAATTGGATTTTCATAAATAATATATATATAAAGAAAGATTATTGTTTCTGGAATATTATTTTAAATTTCATAGAGACCCACACTTTATTTTTGTAATTGCATATTTAAAATGCAGAAAACTTTTTTAATTTTTGCCATTTACGACGATTGCTATTATACTTTGACAAATTTTTATAATTATTTATTCAATGTTTTATTTGAGATGTTTTCAACTAGATAAAAATCGCGTTCCTTTGACGTATTTATTAGCGTAATCGGCCCAGTAAGAGCTGAGAATTTTTATTGGCATTAACAGACACATTCTGGTAAATACAATTCCTTCTTAACTTCTTACTCTTTGAAACTAAAATACTTTATGTATGCCATTAATATTTAACTACTGTACTGTATTAAAGGTGCAAAGTTTTCCTTCTACGCTTCGCAAGACAAATGAATAACTAATTAAATTCAAGTAACAGTGATCGACATCTCGAACTATCAATCAGTGGCCGCGTGACTTACGAATTTTATTTTGAATTTACACGATTCATCAAAAATACAATACTATTATAAGGCGCCATTGAATTTGTACACAGTTCCTGAGCACGTAGAAATGTCGAGTATAGTAAACATTTGAACGAAGAAAATGTTATTATTGACTTATTTTTCCTTTCGTTTTTTGAATCACGAGAAATAAATTTGGGGGGGTTAGGTAAAGCCAAAGGTTGAACAGATGCAAATTGTATTTGACTACAATGTGAAAATAAAACTATTACATGAGGTGCACACGACGGACAACCGCAAGCGACGAAAGCGGCTTCCCCAATCATTCCACTGTTGTTCGCTTTCTTTTCACGCTGCTGCCACAGCGACACGGCCGCCGAGTGGCCGATCGGCCGCGTCACCCGCCTACCCCACACGGTCCGGCCGGCGTTCTTGCCGTGAACCGGCGGCGTCAGTCGAGTGTAGTTGAACGAGACGTACGGTTTGCCGTTTGCCGCGTCACACACGTACGCCACACCCGTCGCACTTGTTCGTGTGTGTGGACGCTCCGCTACCCCGCCGCTCGTTCCCGAACCGTGTGTTCCTCGGTCTCGTCTTTTGTGTGTGTGCGCGTCGTCCCCGTTATCTCGAAACGCACGCTGCCCGCTCTACCGTCCTGTCACAGAGCGGCTCCAAGCGAGTTTTCTTTTTTCCACAGTGTGTCAGTGTGTTTGTATTGGAGTGCGAGTGCGCCAAGTCGTATAGCCGTAGAAAATACGGTAGCGGTTCTTAAATTTTTCGTATTTGCCCGGCAAAAAGGCGCCCTACCGCTGAACGCATTTGACATTTGATTCGGGTGAGTTTTTTTTTTTTTTTCATTTTTATGTGCTCCACTCTTTAATTATTCTTACCTCCCTTCGTTACAATGAATCCGCCTCGTTTTATTAACTCACCGGTCCGAGTACACGTAATCGATGTGTTCCATAAGGTTAATGATTACAAACAATTATAAAGAATAAAATCATAAAAAACATTATCATCGGCTTGTGTCATTTACCGACTTGAAAATAATTTCTCAATTAATAGCGTTCAATGAAATGTGCAACACACGTCGGTATTATTCTTACGGACTGTAATTGTATACACATAAATTTTTATTAAATTCCATTTCAACCGCGTGATTATCTCTAGTGGTATACATTTTGTTGTTCGGTTGACGCAATACAGGAGATATGATCGAAAAGTTAGGTGCAATTTACAAAAAATCCTAATCGATTCGCACAATCGCTGGCTAATGTAATGTTTTTTTTTTACGTTTCCAAACTAATAGTTGTTTTTCCGTTTATTAACGCCAATTGTTGAATAATCGTTATCGTCAGCTCGAACGTCGGACTTTGTTGAATCGACTTCTTTGTATACACGTTTATCAGTTTTCACTCGTATTAATTACAATCGTTTTTTGTTATTTCAGCCGATCAAATAGATTTTCAATAATTTATCCGAAAGCGTTCGATGAATTTTGTCGTACCGGCTCCGTTATTTTTTCGGCTAAAATTAGCACACGATTTCGAACACCTACCAATGCCTCGTTTGAAAATACATTTTTATACTTTGCGAGTATTGAATTCATTCAAAAATAAAAACGAATTAAGAAAATAAATAAAGCTGTTGTTGATAAAATAAACGCTTTAGAAAATGTTTTCCAATTGTGCACTGCAAATGTTTTTCGATATTTTTTTTTTTTTTGCAAAAAAAAAATTAAAGATCCGACATTGAATTTTCATCAATTGTTTCCGCAGAACCGAACGTGTCAAATATTAAACGGATCATCGAAAATGTCCGTAATATTAGTTGATTTATGCAAAATACACAAATATATCTAAACAAATATCATAGAAACGTAATGCATTAACGCCGTAGGAGTCGTTTGATAAAAACACAATCGTCTATGTATCTAAGTCTTTTGTGTAGATTGCAAAGTGGCAATTATTTCAATACGTTTTTTTTTTTTACAATGTCACCGTGTATTGGCATACACGATCCAGAATACAATACTCGAGAAAATGGCAATTATTTTTCCTCAGTTTCGCTTAAAGTCGTCGCGTCAATTTCTAGTCGTACTCAAAGTTGTAATAATACGCATAACGTTATGGCAAATAACGAGGAAATCAATTTAATAGAACGCACACCTGTTGCTGACACGAAGCTTTTTTTTTCTTTTCCTGATTGCAGTTCATGTTACAAATAATGTATAAGGCAGCAATGAGATAATCGTCGATTGTCTTAATTTGGAATTGGGCCTAAAAAAATGTCTAGTTAGTACCGTTCCGTCGATAACAGTAAACATTATCAGCAAACGTTAAAAAATAATAACGTAGTCCCAGCGTGGAACGTTTTGTTATCGGCGTTTGATACAACAATAATTTTGCCAACCATTCATACGGACGTCTCATTGGGCGGAAATCATCAAGCTGCGTAACGATTTATGATTTTCGTTATCAAGAGAAAGTGTGCGGTTCTCATCATTTAAGATTTGCTCCTATACTTGGACGGTCTGCGGGCAACGTTATTTTGCAGCGGTTTAATTATTTTTTAACTCTGACTTTGACGGAACACTCGCGT